TTGGTACCCCGAGAGGGTTTGTTTTGCATCTGCAGGTGGAGCCTTGTACCAGCCCGTGACCATGGTGACATCGCAGGGCCAGGTCCTCGCCCAAGCCATCGCCCCCGGCGCCCTGCAGATCCCCAGCACCCAGGTAGGACCTTCCCACCTCCAGCCTTCACTGGAGGTTCCATGGAAGTAAGAATAAAAAAACCCAATCTCACCAGCAATTCAACATTTGGAGTATCTGAGAGTTTTAATGAGTGAGGGACGTTGATTGAATTCATCCGCCGGGTGCCTTTGGGGCAGCTCAGGAGTTAGAGCAAGCACCTAAAAAACCTTCTGCTGTGGCTAGATCATAAAACAGTCAAAGAGCTGAATAGTCTAATGGTGTAATAGTCCAGTCCAGACTGTATAGCAGGGTGTTCTAGGAGGTTCTGGGAGATTCTAACAGTTTCAGTGAGGTATAGGGTATGGTATTTAGATTAGATTAGATTGGATAGATTAGATTAGATTAGATTTTCTACTGCATTCTATTCTATTCCATTTTATTCTATTCTATTCTATTCTATTCTAATATTGTATTATATCATATTATGTCATGTTACATCATATATTCTTTTCTTATATTATTTTCTTACCATATTCTTATCATATTCTTATATTATTGTATCTATTTTACCAAATTCTATCATATTCTATCATATTTTATCATATATCATTTTATATTCTTATATTATGTCATGTTATGCTGTGTCATATCATATTATGTCATATTTTATATCGTATTTTATTCTATTCTTATTCTTTTCTAATATATCATTCTATTCTTCTCTTCTATTTTATTATGTCTTGTCATTCTTCCCTTCCCTTCCCTTCCCTTCCCTTCCCTTTTTATCTCCTGTTCTTCTCTAATGTTATTTCATATCATATCATATCATATCATATCATATCATATCATATCATATCATATATCTTCTACTCCATTATATCATGTTCTACTCCATACATTATAGAACATTCTGTCCTATTCTATAGATTATTGCTCCTCTATTATAATTTATGGATTCGGGGGTAGTTTTACACCCCCAAATTCCATTTTTTCTGGGTTTATTCCTCATTTTTTTGGTGTCATGGCAAATTAACCACGTTTTGTTGCCCTGCTTGGCTGCATCTGTGCAGTATATTCAGTGATGGTTTGGGGTAGAAGGGTTTTGAGGAAAACCTGGGAAGAAGAAAAACATGAAAAAAAAGTTCCCTTTTCACTCCAGCACTGAGATTTCAGTTCCTGCTTCCTCAGTAAAACTTCTCCTGCAGCAAAACGTTTCGCTTTTTTTTTTTTTTTATTTTTGGGGAGAAAAAAGCAGATTTTCACTCAATGGGAACGTTTCTTCTCGTGGTATCAGCACCAGGGTCTCCAGCTGGGCTGGTGCCACCATGGGCAGGAAAATCCCATTGCCCTCTGCACTGGCAAAAAAATATGGAGCTATGAAAAGAGATCCTGGGGGGGAAATGTGGATTTGAGGCAATTTTGGAGGGAACAGAATGGGGTTTGGATACTTCCTGCAACCATCTATTTCTTACACTCACCCCAGAGCCATTTTGGGTTGATTTTGCTCATTCCTTGGATTGCCCATCGCTGTTTTCAGCTGATTTTCCTCATTTTTGGAGGTGGTTTTGCTCATTTTTTGGGTTGGTTTTCCTTGGTTTGGGGGTTGCCCATTTTCATCCAACTTATTTTTTTGGGTTAGTTTTGCTCATGTTTTGGATTGGTTTAGATCATTTTTGGGTTGCCCACAGTTGTTTTCAGCCAATTTGCTCAGCTTTTGGGTAGGTTTTCACTGAGTTTCCCCATCACTGGATTGGTTTAGATAATTTTTGGGTTGCCCACCGTTGTTTTCAGCCAATTTGCTCAGCTTTTGGGTATTTTGACCATCACTGTTTTCAACCAATTCCCTCATTTTTTTGGGTTGATTTTGCTTGGTTTTTGGGTTGCCCATTTTCAGCCAACTTGCTTGGTGTTGGGATTGGCTTTACTCATTTTTTGGGTTGATTTTGATCATTTTTTTGGGTTGCCCATTGTTGTTTTCAGCCAATTTGCTCATTTTTTGGGTTGTTTCTGCTTTGTTTTGGGGTTACCCATCATTGTTTTCAACCAATTTGCTAATTTTTGGGGTTGATTTGGCTTGGGTTTGGGGTTGCCCATTTTCACCCAACGTCCTTATTTTTGGGGTTGATTTTGCTCTTTTTTTGGGTTGCCTATCACTGTTTTCAGACAGTTTACTCATGTTTTGGGGTTGCCTGTTTTCAGCCAACTTGCTTATTTTTTGGGGGGGTTGGTTTTGCTCAGGTTTTGGGTTGGTTTTGCTCAGTTTTTGGGTTGGTTTTGCTCAGGTTTTGGGTTGCCCATTGCCATTTTCAGCCAGTTCTCTCCCTGTTCCTCTCACTTGGCAGGTGAACCTGGATCTCACCTCCCTCCTTGATGGTGAGGACAAGAAGTCCAAGAACAAGCGAGGTGTCCTGCCCAAACATGCCACCAACATCATGCGCTCCTGGCTCTTCCAGCACCTCATGGTGAGCACCACAGCCACCAAAACACCTTCCAAAGCTGGGAAAAAAGGCAAAAAAGAAACCCCAACTTGAACAAATTGAGGTGGTGGTTTGTCTGAATTTATATTCAGAGGCACAAGGTGGCTTTGGGAGCAAGGTGGGAGACCCACAGGTAATATCCAGACAGAAAATGGCAGCCTGGGGTAAAACATGACCCAGGGCATGGAGCAGAAGCTGGTTGGGAACTTCCCAGCCTTTTTATTTTTTGTTAATAAATGGGAAATTTGGGGTTTATTGCACTGAGAACAAGAGCATCACTGTATTGGGCCAACATCCCAAGCTGCATCGAGCATCTCCCTTGCTTTTGGAGGGATGAGCTGCAGATGCACAAGCAGAGAAAGGGTTTAGAAGACCAGAAGCTGAGCAGGAATTTTCTATCAGGTCCCAGGAGAACCCCACATGGTTTGAGCTTTCCAAAACTGGATGGAAAAACTTCCAAGAAATTGTCCTACTGGATGGCTGAACCTTTGCTTTCAGCCTGGTCCCTCATGGTCAGAAGATGTTTGGGCTTCCCCGTGGGATTTCTCTCTCTGACATCATAGATGATGTGGCTTTTCAGCTCATCTCCTTGTTCCTCATCATTTTATTGGGTTTGGAAGTTTTGTAGGACCAGCAGGAGTAAGGAATGCCAAAAATGCCAAAAATGGGGCTATTTCTACCAAAAAAAACCCCTCAAACCATTTTCAACCATTCTGGCTTCTCTGAGGGATGGGTTGAGGTGGGGTGGGAGCCTTCTGCATGCCACGACTCTGGGTGGTTTTCTCAAGGGATCGACACTATTTTGGGGCAAACAGCTGGGAAAAAGTCACGTGACCCAACACTGGCTCTGGCTTGGGGGCTCCCAAAAATGACACGTGGGGCTTTGATAATAATTTCATTTTTTGGAGCTTGGAAAGGAGGAATTTAGCACGGTTGGGAGGAGGTGGTGGAAGCTCTGAGGGCTGGTTGTCTCCCAGAGATGTTTCAGGGAGTTTCAGTGGTGGATCTGACCAGGAGCCCTGGGGGTGACGATGAGTTTTGAAGCCCAGATCCCACCTTCACCAACAGCCATTAGAAAGCTGTCAACATTTAAAAGAATAATTTCTTCCTTCAAGGAAAAACCTTTGCTGGAAAGCCTTGGAAAGGCCCTGAGGACACTGGGGAAACCTCGACACTCTTGGATACCAGAAGCCACCAAATTTGGGGTGGGAAAATGGAAAAAAAAAAATGGGAAGGTTCCTTTTTTTTGGGCTCTTTTGCACACAGGGGTTTCACTTTGCTGCCCCATCTCTTTTCTCCACCCTAGCACCCCTACCCCACAGAGGACGAGAAGAGACAAATCGCCGCCCAAACCAACCTGACCCTCTTGCAAGTCAACAACTGGTGAGCTCATTGGTGGCCCCTGCAGTCAGCTCCTTGGCTTTAGAATGTTTTTTCACCCTTTTTTGGTGCTGTATGATGGTTTTTTGGGTAATTGGGGCGGTCAGGGCTGATTTCTGGGAGATAAGCTCGGGTTTAGTTGGTGGTGTTGGTTTGTGATGTCTCAATGCCCTCTCCTGGCAAAGTCAACACACAACAGCCTCCAGCTCCTAGAAAAATGAGCTCAGGAGTGTAACAAGCCACAAATAAATTTGGGTAAAAAAAAATACACAACACATTTTTTTTGGCCCACGCAGCCACTTTTGAAAGGGGTTTATTTGGCAACTCATTGAATTGGGTGGTGGAGTCCCCATGGTTTCCAGGCCGTGGAGATGTGGTGCTGAAGGACATGGGCTAGTGCTGGTTAACGGTTGGACTGGATGATCTTCAAGGTGTCTCCCAACCCAAATCCTTCTGTGAGTCGTTGGGACGTTGTTTTCACTCAAAATTGACTCTTTTTTCCCCTCCGTTGGTGCCTGGTTGACCTGGGGAAGGTTCATCAACGCCCGGCGGCGCATCCTGCAGCCCATGCTGGACGCCAGCAACCCAGACCCAGCCCCCAAAGCCAAGAAGATCAAATCCCAGCACCGACCCACCCAGAGGTTCTGGCCCAACTCCATCGCCGCCGGGGCCCTGCAGCAGCAAGGGGGCAACTCGGGGACGAATCCTGACGGTGAGGACACACCCTGGTGGCTCCTGCCCTGCCTGGGTGAGGTGGCCACACATCCAATTATGGCCTTAGTTGGTAATTAAGGATTTCTAGAGATGTTTTATCAGCCTGTGGGGGGGAAAACTTGTTGAAGGCTCATGCAAGGAGGGCCTTCCAGTTGGCCATCTCCAATGGGGCTCTGGCGTCTCCTTGGCATAGGAGCAGCCCTCGAGGGTCACCCACTGTGGGGCATCCCTTGGGGTGTCTCCTGAGGGTAAAGGGGCAGATGGGGAGAGGAGATTTAAAAAAAAGTAAAAGCTGAGGATGAGAAGACAGGTGAGAGAAGAGGAGAGGAAAGAAGATGAAGAGGAACAGGTGATGGAAGTGAAGAGAACTGAGGAGATGGAGCAGACAGATGAGGCAAGGTGGGAAGATGAAGGGAGAACAGGTGGTGAAAATGAAGAGGGGTAGAGAAGATGAAGAGAAGGTGAAGAGGGTAGACGTGAGAATGGATGATACAAGGAGAAGATGAAGAGAGGGGAAAGTGGAAACAAAGTGAAGATGAAGAGAGGGGAAGGTGGAAATGAAGTGAAGATGAAGACAAAATCTGCCCACTTTGGCCACCTGCTTGCTCAGAAATGAAGGTTTCTTGTGATTGACTTCAGCTCAAAAATTAAGGGTTGGACCTTGAGGAGCAGGTGGGACACCCTACAAGGTTCTCTCTCTCCAGGTGCAGCTTTTTGCTTCTTGATTTATGAACTTTTTGGGCCTTTTTAGATGAACTGGGAAGTCCTTATTTCTAAGTTTGGGGTTTTTTTTTAACTTTAAAAACCTGTGTTTAAATTTCAGGCTCGCTCAGCATGGACAACCTGCAACCCCTCTCCTCAGCCACGGCCACCACGGCCCTGCACCAGGCCCTGCCGGCGGCCCCAGCAGGCCATGCTGGCGGCCCACGACGACTCCCTCGACGGCACCGAGGAGGAGGAGGAGGACGAGGAGGAGGAGGAGGAGATGGAGGAGGAGGAGGAAGAGGAGGAAGAGCTGGAGGAAGAACCTGGCGGCCTCCCGGCGGCGTCCAGCGCCGACCTGGGCTTGGACCACAGTGACTCGCTGGAGTAGCTCCTCCCACGCCCTCCCCAAACCCCTCACGGCACCAGAAACAGAATTCCACCCTCCCCCCCCCAAAAAAAAATGCCAAAAAAAGAAAAAAAAAGGGCAAGAACAAAACCAAAATGGTGAGAAAAACAAATGGGAGGCGCTGGCAGAAGCTGGGAGCCGCGGGGCCGGGGAGGACAGATGTTTACAAGGCACATATTGTGGCCAGAGGAATTCTTTTGCTGATTTTTCAGGTTTTATTCTTTTTTTTTTTTTTTTTTCTCCCTTTTCCCCTTCATTTTTGCTACGAAGAAGCATTTGGAGGGGAAACTTCCCCCCTGCCCTCCACGGGATGCTCTGGGATGACAGAGGGTTTGCACCGGGGGCCACCACGTTCATCACTCGGTTCTTGGTGTAAAAAACCCCAACCAACCCCCCCAGGATTGATGCTTTTTGGGGTTTTTCCCCTCAAAAAGGTGATTCACAGGCATAAAGATCAGCACGTGGGGAGAAACAAATCGGCGAGTGCAAGTTCTGCTTCAGGTTGGATCTAAGGAGGGTTTCGTGCTCGTGACCCACCAGGCTGCCCAAATCTCCCTGTTTTGACCCCAGTTCTGTGGCTGTTTGGTGACTACGGACTTGACGTGCTGGAAAAAGGAGGAAATTCCCCCCAAATCCTTTAATTTATGTGCTAAAACCCCATCAAATCTGGAAGAAAAACCCTTCATCCTTTAAGGGCTGAGACTGGACGTGGAACTGGGGCAAAGCTTCTGGGAGTGAGACTTTCCCAGGGCATTTTTCCCCTCCAAAAAATTGGGGGGGGAAAAACAGGTTTAAAAAGAAAAAAAATTCAGATTTTTCACCCCAAATTGAGTGGAGACCCCCCCAAGAGTCACCTGAGTGGAAAGGAATTGAATATTGTTGCTGGAAAAATGGTTTCTCCCTGATGTTGGTCCATCCACGTGGGAAAAAGGTGGAATTTCACCCCAAACAAGCCATGGGGGAGGGGGGCTTTGCAAAAAAGAACATATTTGGGTTTTTTTTTATTAAAATGCTAACAAAAAAGCAAATTTCACCGTAAAACATGGAAACACAAAAGCAAAAAGGGTGATGAGGGGTGAAAATAATAAAGGAATTTTCTTCTGCAGGTTCCTCCCATCAAGGAAGGTTTCTGAGAGAAGGGATTTTTTGGGTTTTTTTTGCTGCTTTTTGGTTTTGGCTTTTTTTTTTTAGTTGGCTCTTGAAGAGTTGGAAGGAAAAATAATAAGCCACAAACCAGCAGGTGGGGGAAAAAAACCAAAACCCTGATGATGCAATGGGCAAAAAAAGCCTATTTTTGGATACTGATCAGGCGTGAATGTGCTCCGTGATTTCATAAAGGATTCGTTGTAATTTGGGATTAATTCCTGGCCTTTTGTTATAAAGTGCTACCAGATGAGGTATCGCAGCTCTATTTTATTGGCAGCTTCTCCCTGCAAGCAGAGGAGTCCCAAAATGAGGGAATAATGCCCCAAAATGGGCAATTTTCCCTTTAAAATAAGCAAACGCCCCCAAATGGCTGAATTGACCCACATCTCCAGTTGAGGGATGTGGTGCAAAGAGGGTTTGGACTTCAAAAAGTGATGCTGCCCCCCAAAAAAATGAGAGATATGGCCCCAAAAATGTTACACCCTGGCCCCAAAATGTGTTGCTCCCCCCCCAAATTGGTTGTGTTCTCTAAAATGGAAGGATTTTGCCCCAAAAATGATTCTCCCCCAAAATGAGGGATACTCGACTTAAAATGAGTTGTTTTCTCCAGAACTGAGTGGTTCTGCCCCAGAATGAGTGATGTTGACTACAAAATGAGGTATATTCTCCAAAATTGAATGATTCTCCCCAAAAATGAGTGATACTCACCCTAAAATGAGTTCTCTCCAAAATGAGTTTCTCCCCCAAAATGTTTTTTTTTTTCCAAAACTGAGTTATTTTAAAAGAATAATGCATTTTCTCCAAAACTGAGTGATTTTGCCCCAAAAAGAGTGATTCTCCCCCAAAATTTCTTATTTTCTCCAAAACCCAGTGATTTTCCCCCCACATGCATTATTTTCTCCAGAATGTAGTGACTTTGCCCCTAAATGAGTGATTCTCCCCCAAAATGAGTGATGTTGACCCCAAAACAAGGTGTTTCCTCCAAAACTGAGTGGTTTTGCCCCCAAATAAGTGATACTCACCCTAAAATGAGTTCTTTTCTCCAAAATGAGTTATTTGCTCCAAAACAGAGTGATTTTTTTCCCCCAAAATGCATTATTTCCTCCAAAACTGAGTGATTTTGCCAAAAAAAATGCATTATTTTCTCCAAAACTGAGTGGTTCTCCCCCAAAACAAGTGGTTCTCCCCCAAAATGTATTGTTTTCTCCAAAACTGAGTGATTCTCCCCCAAAATGACTGATTCTCCCCAAAATGACCGATTCTCCCCCAAAATGAGTTATTTCCTCCAAAACTGAGTGGTTTTGCAAAAAAAAAAAAGCATTATTTTCTCCAAAGCTGAGTGGTTCTCCCCCCAAATGACTGATTCTCCCCCAAAATGTATTGTTTTCTTCAAAGCTGAGTGGTTCTCCCCCAAAACGAGTTATTTTCACCCAAACTGAATCATTTCCCCCCAACCCTCATTATTTTTCTCCGCAGGCAACGAAGCTTCAAAAAAAAAAAGTCAAAAAATGGGGGAAAAAACTCCCCTCAGAACGAAATTTGCATCTTTTATCCTCCTGTGAATGTTCCTCGAGCCCCCGTCGCTCTCCCCAGCCCCACCCCCGCCGCTTTTTGGACCAAAATGTTGCAATTTTTTTGGGCTGCTTAATTAATGAAACGAATTCTTTATTTCTGAGCTGTGCAAAGGGGGGGGGGCAGTGAGGGGGAGGGGCGGTGGGTGACCCATTT